TGTTTCTATCCATGTCTGTGGGCAGCTCAAGCTTTAAGGGGGAGAAGGTGGGAATCAGATTCTCTGGTCACAGCAGGTTCAGCTTTCCCTGCAGCCTGTTCCAAGGGAAACAGCAAAACCCACATTCTGACTGTTTAGAGGTATTTCCAGAAAAAAATCAATCCACAAATCACCAGGAAGAAAATTTAGCAGGAGGCCCTGGGATAGGAAATAAGGCCTGAGAGGATTAACAAAGCCAAATCAGTAAAGAGAAACGAGGAGCATTGGAAAGCAGCACAGTGACAGAACAAGGATTTAGAGATTAACATTCTCCAAACTCACTGATCTTTTACATGAAAGAAGCCCCTGAACTCAAGGTTTCAAGGGCAATGGTTACAGACAACTCTAAAGTATGAGAGGACATCAGAAAACTGAGACTTTACTCTGAAACAGGCAGACACTCATTACTTTATTTATGGCAAGTAAATTTATCCCAGGATTATTCTCCTGGATAGCCCAATTTTTATTTCTTTCTAAAAGTAGCAGCATTTAACAAAAAGGGAGTGCTCACATGCACACACATACAAATGGAGACAGGCAGCTTTATTTGGAGTCTTTTCAGGCTGGCTTGTACGAGTTCTGCCTGTTAACTTTGGCTATTTTGATTTTACTCACACAGCAGGATTGTGGTCATTTCTATTAACATCAGCACCAGGCAAGCTGGGGTTCAAGTCCCATTCAGAAAAGAGTGACAAGGAGACACTGCCATTCCCACGAAATTGGCACTAAAATCTAAACATGAGATGAAAAATCTTATGAAAGCAAAACCACCAGCACAGAATCCAGTCTAGACAACTACAAAACACATGGGAAAAAGTCCAAACTGTGTTCTTTCTCTCCCCTGGCTCCACCAAGGAAACTGCAGTTTTCTGGTGCCAGAACACCATTGTCACTTCTACTGCTGTCCTTAAAACTGCCTTGCATCAATTGCACAGACACCACCATCACTGGGCAGAAATCCCTGATAATTTGCTTTCCTGTGCCTGTGAAGAGGAAGGACAAAACCCCTTTCCTGAAATTGTACACAATCAAACCTTAAAATGCCTCCTCCAAGCATTGCAGCCATGGCACCACCATGCACTGACTCCGTTTGAGTCGGTCTGCCGTGTCCTTGTGGGAAGAGCTACATGGAATTAATTGTATTTTCTTTGCACAGGCCCCTTTTGAGCACTAGAGCACTGTGAAGGGTTTAAGTGACTGATCAGGCACTTTGTTTGTGCTTGGTGAAAGGAAAAAGCTGAGATTCCTTCCCACCATCAATTTTCCTGACAGCCTGTCTTCTTTCTGTGTTATCTCTTTCAGCCTTTTATGAGGAAAGCTTCAGTGAAAGATGTTTCAGTTAAAGGTCTGCTGTCACTGCAAGACTATCCGAGAGAAAAGCATCACCTGGGACCCGTATAGAGCCTAAAAATATTACTGGAGGCTCTTGGGTTGCTTCCTTTGTGAGTGGAGATGGGGGAAAAATACGTATATCAAGACCTTTTTTTTCCCCTTTAATAATTCTACCTAGCCTGAAAAATATATTTTCACTCTGTACTGATATCAAATGAACATGATTCTGTGCTTGAAGCAAGCAGTCTTGGCTTGCAGCAACAAGGATGCCTTTAATAGACTCCTGATGGAATTCCTAATCATTTCTTCTCCCTTATTTGTGATAAAACATTTAGCTCTCAGCCTCCATTAATCTGAAACTTGGTGCTGTGAGCCAGATTTTACAGCATGCCCACGTTTTTGGCTCTGCAAAACAGTGTGACCCAGCACAACAGAGAATTTTGGGCCTCTCCTAAAACCTAAAGGTATTGCCTGAATTTAGGTTGACATTTTGGCACACAACAGACTATCCTGATGTTATCAAGAACAGTTAATTGACCCAAAAAATCCTTGCTGCATGATCAGATATTGTGATGAATGGGAAGATTTGGGGGATGTTTTTTTCATACATGCTAGTGGGAAAATTGAAGAAATAAGGGGGATTCTGCCTTGTTTATTCTGTTAGATATGGAAAGCAACAGGGTTGGGAATTGTTTAATTTTTTTAATAGGATATATTTTTGAAGATGTTAATTTTTTCAATCCTTCTTCCAGAAAATACTAAAATATTCAGATTTGTGCCTCAGGTAATGTGTGGAACACTTCTGTCTCTCATTTCATTAAATTCCCAGCCAAAACTAAACAACAATTATTTGAAATTATGCCTAAAATTTTTTTTGGCTCCTTGGATTCCAGTGAGACGTTTTCACTGATAATTTCATTGCATTATTTCTTTTGACACCTTCCAGACAAGGCTGACTGGGCAGCACCTGTGCTACCAACTTATGTTCTAAACCTTCAGTTTTTCAGTCCTTCTGTGTTTCAGCAAGGAACAAAAAGTGCAACTTAACATTAATATTTTTTTAAAAACCAAAAAAAGATGAAGTAATTTCTTCTGCCCTTTCACAGATCACTTTTGTCAGGTACTATATTTAAGATAATAATGAATTGCACACAGACATTCCCCCATATTCAAGAGGGAACCACAGAACTTCTCAATAGACCCTTCACCCTATAAGATGCATTTCTCCATCTCAAACAATGCTCTGCAAACTCCTTTTCCTTCACTCACCACAGACAGCTTCAATTATAGAACCTGCTGAGATAAGGTCTCTGCTTCATGAGACTAATGAACACTTGAAATGATGCACTGAACTAATGGGTATTGAATACAGAATAGCTATTTGTCGTGTGAATTTCATCACCTCTTATTCCTTGGATGTTATTTTCAAAATGCAGTAGCTTGTAATGGAAAACTATTGATAATATAAAAAAATTAACGCTCTAAAGACGAGCCTGATGTATTAATTTTAATTAATAAAGTATAAAAGTATAAATATAAATTAATTTTAAATGTTTGTTTATGGTATTATAATTTAAGAATTTACTTTAAAATGTGGATTTTCAATTCAGATTATATTCATGCAAAAATCATTTGAACAAAATAATTTTATTATTTTTACCAATTTATCACCAAAATAAAACATAGCAGTAGGAGGATGTTACCTCAAATTTTAAAAAAAGGGTGTAAAAACTGCACAAGAAGAAGATTCAGTTTGTCAGCTGGAAATGGGCTAAGCTAGGGATGCCAACACATCAAAACTGACTCCTTTGTGGTATTTTTTAAAGTTTTTTAAAGTTTTGCCCTCTCCAGCAATGAACAGCCACAGACTATGAAAACAAAAACCTCTTAAACTGTGAAATAAGTTTAGAAAAAATTTCATGGTTTTTTTAAAAAAAGAAAAACTTCTAATTTCCAACCTATTTTCTGAAATGTCCAAGCTGAAATTTTTTCTTTAAAAATCAAAATCAGCTGGAAGTTCATTTCAATTTAATTCAATCCTTTTCAGCTGGTCAACAACAGAGTCACCCTCAGCCCCTCCTGTTGTCTCTTCTGCCACTACAAATGCACAAAACAAGAGGTGTGGCAGACTCACTTGTGATTGAAATTAATGAATTTACAAATTTTAAATTTCAGCTTTTGACTACCCCCTAAAAGGATTTAAATGTCCTGTGTAATTATCTCAGAAAGAGTAAGAAGAAGGCCAGGGGGTTTTTCTAAGTTATCTTGGGAGCTGACTGAATTCAAGTCACCTGTGAGGAACTCTAATATTCATCTTTGTTTTCAGAGATTTTTTAAAAGTTGCAATAAAGTTGAAACAAACAACCGTTGCCAAGTACAGACTCTTGGTACAGACTGCACAAAATTGCTTTCTATTTGCAGAACTCTGCTACAGCACAGAAACAGAGGCTGGCACAGCTGCCTGGCAAGTCTTTGCACTAGAAATGGTCCTCAAAAGTGTTCCACAGGAAACACTTGAGCCCTGTGCATCCTTCTGAGCAGGTGCAGGGCTGCTCAGGTGTCAGAATCTGAGGTATTGATGATTCCCAGATTGTAGAAATTCTCTGTCTGTCAGCCCCGCTGCCAAAGCAGAAGCCATAATTGGTCTGTGCTGGTTTCAAGGTTGTTTATTCTGTTTATCTCTAACATGTTCTGCTGCCCTGCCACAGCTCTGTCCTGCAGGGCAGCGTGTGGGGCTCTGCCCTCAGTGGGATGTTACAAACATTAAATACCAGAAACTACCTGTGCTGGATTTACAATAACGTGCCAATATCTGTCACCTACGTTGGACAGTGTGTCCCCAGCCTAAACCAACAGAAAAATGCCAACACCACAGTGAAACATGGAGGGCATGAAGAAGGAGAAAAAGGACAAGACACACCCAATTTCCTCCATCTTTCCCCTTTAAACCCCTAATCTAGAATCCTAAAATTTTACATTTGCACCCGTGCCAGACTTAATTATCACTTATATCAAACACTCAGAGCTTGTAATTCATCCTGTGAGATTGAGAACACTTTTCCATGGACAGAGATCACAGACAGTGTCTCTGGGGGCTCTGTACAGGGGGGTTCCTGACCCCCTGACAGGGTCCCAGGGCAGCCAGGGCAGCCAGAGGGAAGCTCTGGATTCCCACACTCAGGCATTACTGCATTACAGAGTCATGCAGAATCTCCAGAAAAATTCATCTCAGCAGCATGAGATGACACTGAAATGTCTCCTGCCAAGTGGAAGACAAAGACTTGTAAGGTTGGAAATGCCAACTGAACCCCTCAGGTTTAAGCAACATTTTAAAATGGATCTTCCCATTAATGAATTAAAAATCTAAAGTGTTTTATCATATGCGGTTTTGGGTATTCTTTTCCCTTGCATAGGGAGAAATTCTTTGAGTACAGCAATATATGATGTAAGAAATCACAGAAATGGGGTGGAGAGAAGCTACCAAAATCTCAAGAGGAGCAGGAGACTGAGCTAACTGTGATGATCAACTGAGATATTTAATTGATGCCTCCACTGTAAAAAGTTCCCAAGCAGGTAAAACCACCCTCCTACCTGGAACCAACCTACCTGCAGAGCAGGTGGGGCACAAATTGGCTAAAATCTGTTCCTGTGGAGCAGCTCAGGGTGAAATCAGCCATCACTCCACTCTGATTCCTCCCAGTGCTGGAGGGGAACCCCCCCACAGGTTTGTTGGCTGCTCCTGCAGTTCAAACAGTGCCATGAGGGAAAAAAAATGGAGGCTGACTGAATATTTTGGGGGAAAACTGACCAAAACAAACCTGGTTCTGAGGTGTTTGTCACTGTAGAGCTGACAGGGTTGTAAAACTAAAGTAGGGATGGCTCACACCTGCTCATCAAGCCAATTTATTACTATACTGAATCTCACATTGTGTCTGGGAGGACACACAGATCTCCTTACTACAGGAACATGTTTGTACATAAATTTAATCTGGCATGATTCAAACCTGGGAGACTCAGATGAATCCAGGTGATGCCCTAGAACTGCCATGCAATTTTTTTTATTGTTTTTTTGGGCAGGAAAGGAGATTTATGTGTCTCTATATAAGTAGGTGTATCCCCAGCTGCTAAGTCAGAGCCTTTTAACACATTTATTTCAATGTTTTCTGAAATATCTTTTCAATAGTAATAGTTTCTCAGTTGATATTCTTCCTGGCTGTTTGAAATTTAAGTAAATCTACCAAGCTGAGCAAATATCTGAGCTCTGCCTGCCCTTTGGAAAAAGGATTTCTCATTCTGTGTATCACTCACAAATCACTGTGGAGCTCACACAAAGTCAAAATCCAGGCTTATCACAGTGAAGGTGAAGCAGATTTGGTTTTGATTAGAAGTCAGATATGGACTCACCTTCAGTGCCCTGGGTTAACAACAGCAAAGTCACACATTCAGGAGTCGGGAGATTGTGGAGCACCTTCAGCTTCTACTTGGATCCAAAGTTATTCAAAGGTATAAACCAAATTACTGTATTGGATCAAAGAAGGAAAATTAGGAAAGTGCATTCCCTGATTTAAATTATCTAATATCTGTACAGGGTGCTACATGCTCAGGAATCCACATGCCTTGGCTATCACACACAAGGGAAAAAGGTAAACCTTTCACAGGAGGAATTTCTGTGATTGTACTGAATTGCTGCCAGTGGATGATTCTTCCCTGGGTACAGCCATATGTGCAGTGGGTCACCACTCTTTTACTCAGTACTTTACCCAAGATTTACCAGTACCTGCTCTCCAAGATTATTACTACAAGAGAAGAGAAAATAATTTTTCAAAAGAGTTTTGTTAAATTTAAAGTGATTTTCATGATGTCTCAGGTGCATGTGTAAAACTATTCTAAATTTTCCAATCATTTTCATAGACACATCAATTTCAACTTTTCTTCTTTTAATAGGACAGATCTCTAAATCTAGATACTCAGCTTATACAACTCAGCATGAATTCCACTGAGAAATAACTTATAAGGACCAGAAATATTTTTCTTTAAAAAACAGAAATTATTTATTGCAAGACAACCTAGTTTATAAGCTAAGGAAAAGCAGACTGAGGAAATGTAAGAAAATAGCAATTAAAAAAAAAAAATAAGAGCAAAACAGCACAATTTTTAAGAAGTATTTCCATTAATTTCCAAACCAGCAGCTCAGTATATTGAAAAATGTGTGTTTTGGTCTGTGGCAAAGAGCCAGAAATTATGATCATAGGGTATTCCTGGTTCACAATAATAACAGATATGCCTGATAATAACAGAATGTCTTCCACCAAAATCAGAGGAAAAACACAGCCACAACTACTGGCAGAACAAGGGCAAAAGAAATACAAAATAGCATATGAGAAATTAGATTTTTTTAAAAAAAAATCTTACAAACCATTCTCAATTATGTTTACATGGACATCTCCACAATCCTAATAAATGAATTATTTCAGAGAAACATACACCTTACTGCACTGTATCTTAGTTACCAGCATCAGAACTTATGAGCAGGCTGTCCTACACATGTAAAGAATGTGGTTTTCACTCACCAACAAAGGCAAAATCCAAAATTGAACTGCACTACTGCATTTCTGTATCCATCTTCTTAAGTGGAGTCTCTAAAACCTGCATTTTCAAATCAAAGAATTAAACACAGAAGAGATTACAAAAAAACCATTGCACCCTCACTGCAATAAAGCCATTTTCACTAGGAATGCATTATTCATAATGAATCATAGGGTTATGACAAGTAAGTGGCATTACAAATAACAAACAGGAAAAAACAACAAAAAGCAAGTGTTTGAATTTACTTATAATCATACCTTCTGCAGAAATTTACTGAATTTAGAAAGGAAAAAGTCATATGAAAGCATAAAGTGGAAATAATTATTTAATTATTGAGCACAAGGAAAGGTTTTCTTCAAACAGCTAAAGAAAAACTGGATCTCTTTAAATTAACAACTCAGTAGGATGGAGCCATTAATTGCACACATTGCATTTGTTTTCTGAACGCTACACGGATAAAATTCATAATCCTAAATAAAAACCACAAAAAACCAACCCCTCAATATCCAACAGGAGAGGTGGAAACTCTTGAGTCACTTTCTCCCCACTATTTTATCTGTATAACCAAGAGAGGGTAAGAGCTGTCGCTGCCTTTTGCGAGCTCATTCACACTCCACGCTCAGAGCTTTTCCCACCCATCCTTCCTTCTGCCACATGAAACATTTAGGTTGCAATTATGCAAAACTGTTCTCTGAGACAGGGCTGGGCTGGAATTATGGATTGCAGCTCGCAGGGACAGCCTGAAGTGGGATGGCAGCAGGCAGTCCCTCCCAGCTGCACCATCAAACTTTCATAGGCCAGGAGGGTGTGACAGTGAAATGTAAATTTTAAGGAATTTAGAGATTTTAGAGGAGCTAAGGTTTTAGTTAGAGATAAGCCTTACTAGAGTTAATTAAAATAAATGAGTAGGCCTTGATGAAGTTAAGAGTTAGTAGTTAACTAATAATTGATTGCTTGTCAGCACAATGTTTGGTTAGCTGGGTTTATAATGAAGAATATAGAAACTGATAAATAGCTTTTAGGAACATAAGACAATTGTGGGCCTCCTCTGTTCTGAAACCAACTGAAGACAAGGAATGGGAGTTCTACCAAGAGTTCATTTGTCATACGTGCATTGAAAAGGTAGAAAGGTCAGAACGAGGAAGACTTCATTTACTTCCTCATTTTGGGACCCCTCCACATGACAGGGACACCGACCCATTTCAAGGAACAAACCACGCATGCTTAATAGCTTTTGGAGTGATTAGCATACGAAGCAGGGAATGGGATGTACCAAAATTATGAATATGTATTTGTATTTTGGGTATTCAATACTTGTATGGATAAAATGACTCTGTAATCACCTGGACGGTGCGATGCGTATTTGGGAGCTACAAACACACACTTTCTAACTTTAAACTGTTAGAGAGTTTTTGTCCATCACAGCTGGATATTGGTACTGGATCAATATCCATATTTCTTTAATAATTCAGAGCAGGAGCTTTGTAAACATACAGTTTCTAACTTTAAACTGTTAGAAAGTTTTTGTCCGTCACAGTTGGATATCAGTACTAGATCAATATCCGTATTTTTAATAAATCAAAAGCACAAATATCCAGACCTAGATCAGCATTACAGAGAATAAATCTCAGCTGGATTGTGGTTTTAGCTGTATTGGGGCATTTAAAGACATCATGTATATTTAAAGGCCAGAGAACAGGAGTTGTAGAGGCAGTTTGGCTTGGGCATTAACTTACCATGGGAACTCTGCCATCCTTTAAAATGGTCCACTGTGTCTCCCCATCTCTTTTATGAACAGGTTTAATTCTGGCAGCACAAGAAGGATGAATGTCATCATGCCCACACTTCCCTTGAGATACTCCTGCAAAGGAAAAATTAGTGGATTATAAATATACTTGACAAAACATTTCTATTTGCATCACTTAGCACCTACTCTGAAATAACTGGGCTTAAGGACATTTTAATAGGACTATACTAAAAGGTTGCACATTTTGGTTCTAGAAACACTGAAAATATGCATAATTTTTATCCTATACTATTTAGTATTATTTTACTCCTTCAAAAAATTCAAATGGATCTCATAAAAAATTCACAGGGAACAGTTTTCAAGTACATCACCTTACTTTTTTGTGAACACTTCTCTGTTCACTGTGTGCTTTGTTTAACATAAAAACTTCCATTTGTTCAGCATCCAGAAATACTACTTAAAAGGAGCATTTCCAATTATTTGCCATTGCTTTCTTATTCTATAACAATGAAATACAATATCTGTTAAAGTTCATTTTTTTATGTACATTGATTTCCTTTTTCATTTTGCACTCTAATTTTTTGACACTTCCTCAACAGCGGAGTCCAAAAGCATCAATGTCCCATACTTTAATCATTAACATTCCTGAACTCTTGATATCCAGATAAAATAAAGAAAGCTAAAATAGGAAAGAAGGAAAAATGGAACCCTCCAAATACTCAGTTTATTGTTTTTGTAAGAGAAACAAAGTACAGATGAGAATAGGAGAAAATGAAACATGAGTTGCTCTGAGGGAAGAAATCAAAACAGTTGGATAATATAATTTTTGTTTAATGAATCACTTTAATCTAAAATTTAGTTCAAAAATGCTTTTCCATTCATGGCATATTTTTTTAATCTTTCTTATTGTGAATTTTCTGTGAGATCCAACAGAAATTTCCAATGTTCTGGTGAGGAAATAAACACATGGAGGTGCTGACTTGAACAGCGGGGATATTTTTATGGGGGGGAGAGCAGGGACTTTCTAGCAGATTAGAGTTCCAAGATGTTCTCATTAAGCAAGAAGCCATTAAGTATGTTCAGTAATTTTTGCAATAATTTTGCTGCATCCCCATCTCTGAAAACCGTGCTTGTGTCTGGCCTCCATAAAAGTGCTAATAATAATTTAAATTTACCAATAGAGGAATCAATATGAAGAGGACATTGTCAGCAGGATGGATCTCATCTGGGCCTCCAAGAGAAATTGAAATATACCTGCACTTCATCATCACCTGTCCACTGCATTTTCTAAAGCAGAAATTAAGAAGGCTTCCAAAAAGCATCTTTTGGGATATGTCTAAGTCTCTGGTGATAGCACAACCAAGAGCTGAAGTCAGGAATCATTAGCACTGTCTTAAAAGTCTGAGTGAAAACACAAGTTCAGAATGTTAAGAGGCCTAATCATTAATTTCTTAAGCTAAAAATAATATTTGACCCCAAAAATATTCCTAGGGGATGAAATTAGGGTAGATTACTTTCTAACAAATTGCTAGTGGACAAGGCTTTTTGAGCCATTTATATACATAAGTCTCCTCAAGTGAATAAGCAAATTTACAAATATGCAAGCAAATCTTCATAAATATGTAAAACCAAGTCCTTTTACAGCATCAAAGTCCCACTTTGACAGTTATTAACTCATCATCGAAAAACGATGCTAGAAGAATACTAAGTGGCAAATGCCAATCCTGTAAAAGTTATCAAGCCCCAGCACAAAATCTATGTTTAGGTACTATAATATTGTTGTGGCCATGTTTAGCCACTGCTAATTCCATTCACAGATGAATTGATCTCATTAAGCAAGAAGCCACTAAGTATTTTCAGTACTTTTTATAGTAGCAAACAGCTCTGTAATCTACTCACTAAACACTGATGATAGAATTGTTCATTTGCTCATGGGATTTTCTAAGATCCTTTTCACAAGTCCTAATTCCACAGCTACCAGGTGGAAAGGGGATGGTGGAGCCTTTTTGCAAATGGGGAGCTGACACCTGCAGAAGTTATGACCAAAACTGCCTTTTAATTTGTGGATCCAAGTTAAAGGCCTTCCATCAGGTTTTTCAGAGTAACTCTCACCAAAGAAAACTACGTTGAATATTTCCAGTGCTTCTGTTACTCCTAGGAATGTTTAGAAATCAGATTTAAGCTGCAAACATAACACATCTTTACTGCACATGTGCAAAGTGCAATTTTTTGAAGCCTTGAAGGTTGGTTAATTTGGGGGTATTTTCAGAAAATGTCACATTCCTGATTCCCCGACAGATTTCAAACCCTCGCCCAAATTATTAACATTCCAAATTTCACTTCAACTTAATACCACTGATTTTTTTGACTAGCTCAAAAATACAGTGATTTTACCCAGAAATTCTGGGTAAACATAATGTTCTCAAAATGTGTAATGTGGATAATGTTCTCAAAAATACAGTGATTTTGCCCAGAAATTCCTGTGTTATTTCTAAGGAAACACCCTGGGAGAGGGGAAAAAAGTATCTGCCCAGGAAATTGCTATCTGACAAGGCTACAAGCAGGACACTAACTTGCCCATAAGCATCACCAAGCAAGCAAATCCATAATATAAGAATTAAATATGTGGGGGAAGACTCAAACAGGGTCTTGAGCAAGAAATCCAAACAAGCCAAGATAGCATTGTAAGGATTGCAGTGTTATAATTACAGAGTCACTGTGGGTTGCTCATCTGTTTCCACTTTGTTCTGATGAAGCTAATTTTACAGGTTTTTGGTCCAATTTCCTCTTTTTCAGACCCTCTAATTAGATACAAAAAGAATTCCAGTTTTATGGCAGGGCTTGAAGAGATTCGTTAGTTTTTATGCGCCAGCAGTAAATCTGCTCTCACTGTTCTTAGGGGGAGCAGAAACTCTGAGCTTGGCTTCAAATTCAATGCCCTTTACACTAGAAGAAGCTTCAAAGAACCTCACCAAACAAACACAACTAGAGACATGTCTTAGGTTGCAAATGCAAGATGTGGCTGGGGTGTGTGTTCTATTGCCATGTGTCAGAGCTGGGGCAGTTCTCTGCTGTTCATGGGACAGTTTTCTTTATCTCTTCCACAGCCAATCCTCCCTCCAGGAGATCTCTTCTGTTCATGGGCCATTAATTATCTCCTGTTCATAGCCACTGAGTGTCCCTGCATGGCTGAGAAAATTCCATCATCCCATGGGGAGATGCTGCGCCCAGGGGAGGAGCCGAGCATTCCTACCTGGATACAATCTGACCTGGGAACAGCACAGCAGCCTTTGCCCACTGCATTCCCA